GCCAGTAGCAAAGTGCGCATGGCGGCCTCGGGCCACTTCGGCACACCCCTCACGAGGATCGTGGCCCATGGGGAGCCCCACCGAAGGCCCCAGTGGCAAAGTTCCCATGGCGGCCTCGGGCCATGTCGACACACCCCTCACGAGGATCGTGGCCCCATAAGGAGCTCCACCGAAAGCGCCAGCGGCAGGGTTCGCACGGCGGCCTCGGGCCACGTCGGCACACCCCTCGCGAGGATCGTGGCCCCATGGGGAGCTTCACCGAAGGCGCCAGTGGCAGGATTCGTATGGCGGCCTCGAGCCATTTCGGCACACCCCTCACGAGGATCGTGGCCCCACAGGAGCTCCACCGAAGACCCCCAATGGCAGGGTTCGCACGGCGGTTTCGGGCAATTTCGGCACACCCCTCACGAGGATCGTGGCCCCATAGGGAGCTCCACCGAAGGCCCCAAGTGCCAAGGTTCCCATCGCGGCCCCGGGCCATTTCGGCACACCCCTCACGAGGATCGTGGCCCCATGGGGAGCCCCACCGAAGGCTCCCAGTGGCAGGGTTCGAATGGCGGCCTCGGGCCATTTCGGTACACCCCTCACGAGGACCGTGGCCCCATAGGGAGATCCACCGAACACGCCAATGGCACGGTTCGCATGGCGGCCTCGGGCCATTTCGGCAGACACTTCACGAGGATCGTGGCCCCATAGGGAGCTCCACCGAAGGCGCCAGTGGCAAGGTTCGCGTTGCGGCCTCGGGCCATGTCGATACACCCCTCACGAGGATCGTGGCCCCAGAGGGAGCTCCACCGAAGGCGCCAGTGGCAAGGTGCGGCCTCGGGCCATGTCAGCCCACCCCTCACGAGGATCGTGGCCCCATAGGGAGCTCCACCGAAGGCCCCAATGGCAGGGTTCGCATGGCGGCCTCGGGCCATTTCGGCACACCCCTCACGAGGATCGCGGCGCCCGCGAAGACGGCCACGAACGTGTTCCTGAGCATGTCGGGCTCCGGCGGGAAGCCGTGGCCACTTGGGGAGCGCGGACGAAGATGGTATTCACAATTGCGGTATTCACAACTGCCTATGGTTGGGTCCTTCGGCAGGCAAATCTTGCACCCGTTACGCGGCAATTTTATCATCGGCGGCCGAGGGCACAACCTATGGCGCGACAAGCGGCCGACGGCGCACCCTATGACGCGACCGATAGGAGACAGTTTTAAACTCGGCGGCCGAGGGCACAACCTATGGCGAGGCCGCTGTGTTCTCAGCGACTGGGGGCGCAACATATGGCGCAACCAATAAAAGGGCCGTTTCATGTGTCGGCGGCCGAAGACGCAACCCATGGCGCGACCCGTGTTCGGCCCTTCTGCCGTGCCTGAATTTGATTTGCACCCGTTACGCTGCTGTTTTTTGGGGAGCGGCCGAGGGCGCAAAGTATGGCGCGAGCAAGTGGGAGACAGTTGTGTTCTCGGCGGCCGAGGGCGCAACCTGTGGCGCGACCCATGGGAGACAAGTTTTCATACTCGGCGTCTGGGGGCGCAACCTATGGCGCGACCGACAAGAAACAACGTTATTCTCGGCGGCCGAGAGCACAACCTACGGCGCAACCGCTCGGAGGCCGTTTGAGTTGTTGGCGGCCAACGGCGCAACCCATGGCGACGACGACGACGACGCTCAGGACTGAGAGGACGGGGAGGATTACGAGGAGCATGGGGACGAAGACGACAACGAACGACAACCACGAAGAAGACGACGACGACGACGACGACGGCGACAGCGACGGCGACAGCGACAGCGACGACGACGACGAAACCGACGAAGACGACGAAGACGACGACGACGACGACGACGACGACGACGACGACGACGACGACGACGGCTGCGGCGACGGTGGCGGCGAACACGGTTGCGACGATGACGGCGACGACGAAAACGGCGACGACGACGACGACGACGACGGCGACGGCGACGGCGACGACGAGGTCCACCGCCACCACGCTGGCACCAAGCAAATGCGTGCGGGGCTACGCCCGTTTTATGCTCGCCGTTTGGGCTGGCGGTGGGTCCCAAGCGGCGAGCTTTCTTGTGTTTTCTTCTCTCTCTCTCTCTCTTTCTCCTCTCTCTTTCTCTCTCTCTCTCTCTCTCTCCCTCTCTCTCTCTCTCTCGCTCTCCCTCTATCTCTATAGATTTCTCTGTGTCTCTCTCTGTCTCTCTCTGTCTCTCTCTCTCTCTCTCTCTTTCTGTCCATCTCTCTCTCTCTCTTTCGTTCTCTCCCTCTCTCTCCCTCTCTTTCTCGTATTTCCCGTCTCTCTCGTCGGAAGGGGAACAGGTACCCGTACTGTTACCCTTCCCTTGTGTTCGCCTTCTTGGGCCTCCTGGGAGGTCCTCGTCGCCAACGCTGGATTCGCCTCGGAATTCTAGTCGAAACGCACCCCGGGAGAGGTCAAGGGAGTAGCGGTATCGGTGTTTGTTGGTTTTCCCACTGTCCTTGTTGTTTTCTCTTCCTCTCTCTCTCTCTCTCTCGTTCCCTCTCTCTATATATATACATCCCTCTGTATCGCTCTCTCTCTCTCTCTCTCTCTCTCTTTCTCTATATATATCTCTTTTTTCCGGGCACAAGCGACAACTGCACGACAAAGGATTACAGGCGCCGGGTAGGGAGGGTGGGAAGCAGGTGGGATGCTACTGTATACTCGCTGTTGAGTTCAGCTGCTCTCACGGTTCGCCCAACAGGCAAGCTTCGATTCCTTCGAGAAGACGCTATCGTGAACACGCTGCACCTTGCCCTCCACATTCCCAGGCTCAGCTCAAAAGAAACTGGGCCGACGTTGAAAAGTGTAAGGCTCCTGGAAACACGATCAGTCCTGCCCTGAGTGATGTCAATAGCAATGAAACTCTTTTCGAAGATCAGTGCGAGGTTGCGAAATCAGCGGTGCCAGGCGTTAGGTTATGCTCCGTGCGGGTTTTGGTGGGGTCCACCCAGAGGGTACCTGGCCGCTCACGAGACTCACGAGCTTTGGATCACTGGACCAATGGCTTGGCCCTTGGAGTGTACAGCTCGCTGTGTGTTCTAAAGCATTCCTCATAGCCAAGCCGTGTGCAGGAGGCCCCCCATAGACTCCCTGGGGCGCTTCAAGTTTAAGTACCTGCTGGAAGGGCCGAGGCCACATGGAGAGAGAGAGAGAGAGAGAGAACAAACAAAAAGAGAGAGAGAGAGAGAGTAGCCACTGGCCTTCACAGGCCCATTCCTGTCAGCTCGCGCCAGTCGCTAGTGAGCCTGCCTAACTAGCGCCCTGCATGAGCTTCGTTTTCCTCTGGCCTGGTGCAGCGTTCTCGAAGCCCCTCGTCGTTGATTATCTGGAGCCTTACCCTTCTCCTCCTCCTCCTCCTCCTCCTCCTCCTTCTATCCTTCTGCTCCTGCTCCTGTTCCTGCTCCTCCTCCTTTTCTTTTTTGTTGTCCCAGCGAAACTCCTCAACGGTAGCAACACCTGCAGTGAGGAATCTGCAGGACTGAGCAGAGCTTGAACGGATCCATTGCCAGGCCGGAATTCGTGAAGCGACATTGAATACAACACCACCTGTGGCCGGGAACGAAGCTCGAACGGGGAGGAAGTCACATACTATATCAAACAAGTAAGACCAGGGGCCCTGCCTCGTAAGAATAATAATGCCACAACGTCGAAGAGCAACACCACGAAATGCGCAATGGTTCGCCCCAGGCCACCGACCGAAGCGGCAACGAGTACGCCCAAGCATCTGGAGGAGGTCCTCGAACGGGCTGACATCTGAAACACCGGGACCGGCACTCGAAGAAGCCACATCTGGCACGGCCGCGCCCTGGCAGCCGCCGGCGCCGCCGAAGCAGCGGCTCTCTCCTGGGTCTGGCGGTGGTCCGCGCGGCGTCCTGCCTGCCTCAGCCTCTCCGCATGCTCCTGCCTGGACCCGCACAGCGCCGCTGCAGGCGGCGCCAGCAGCGGCGCCGGAGGAGGAAGAGGAGGAGGAGGAGGAGGCTGCCCCGAAGCCCGAGGCCACGCTCGCCTCGGGCGCCAGGGCACCACAGCGCAGACACCCAAAGTCAGGGCCCCAGGTGCTGCGCCGCGAGGCTCCTCGGTGGCCTCGGCGAGCCTCGGCGCCTCGGAGATTATGATTGCAACTCGCACACCTCGTCGGAGGTCGGGTATAGGGGGCCACATGCGAACCCTACCCCTACCCCCCACGATTTCTGGGGGGAAGGGTGGGGTTCACTTCGTTCGGGAGCTCCCGAACGAAATGAACCCCACCCTCCCCCTCAGAAACCGTGCGGGGTAGGGGTAGGGTTCGCAGGTGGCCCCCTATTCTTGCAGCTCGCTCGCCTCGTCGGAAGTCGGGTAGGACTTCTCCTGGACGCGCCCCATGTGCAAAAACCCGAAGGACATGGGCACCTACCGACAGCCAGGCGCAGGCCAAGGGACGACCTCGGGGGCCTCCACGTTCCAGGGGAGCTCGGCCGGCACGCGCTCGCCGGCCTCGGCGGCTCGGTTCTCCAGGCGAGGCCCTGCTTGGTGCACACGGGTCGGATCGGCGGGCGCCGCGGAGAGGCGGCAGCCAGGCGCCTTAGCATGCAACGCAGCACTCCTGCGAAGGACGTCGACGTGTGGCGGAGCGCGGCCAGCCGGAAGCGCTCCCAGGGCTGGGATGAGTGCTAGGACCCTGTCGGCTGACCTGCCTCAGTGCGGAGCCGGGCTGCTGAAATAGCAAGATCAGAAGACAGCTTAGGAAGAGGAGGAGGAGGAGGAGGAGGAGGAGGAGGAGGAGGAATGAGAGGAGGAGGAGGAGGAGGAGGAGGAGGAGGCCCACTTCCTGGACTGCTTCCTGTACTGAGCGGTCCGCCTTGGCGCGCACTCCGCGTCGTCCCGCAGCGACGTTCCTCCAAAGGCAGTGAGGTCACGGGCCCGCCGCACCGAGGACGGCCTTGATCCGAACGGGCTTCGGAGGTCCTCCTCCTCCTCCTCCTCCCTGGCGACGCGGCGGGCGAGCCTGCCGATGCGGTGGACGTAGTCGACCATCCCCCGATGGGGGAAGTCGTAGTTCACGACGTACTTCACGTCCTCTTCGCGTCGGGCGTGGCCCAACGCGTTCCTGGCCCAAGATGTGTCCCCAAGAGTTCCCGGGAGGCACGCCGGGGCCTCCACGGACGCGTCCTGTCCGTTTTCCCAATGTTCGGAAATGCGTGTGGGTCGGGCCTCTCCCCCTCCAGGCGGATTTTGGGCGAACATCGTTTTGACAACTAAAAACAAAAACTCAAACAAATCTAAACAAATAACCAAGCATGGTCATAAGAACGTCCCCATTCTACGCTTTGACTGTTTTTTAACATTCCTCCTGTAGAGGGACAGGCCCGACGTAAGATTTCCCAGGAGGCACGCTGGGGCCTTCGCGAACGCGTCCTAGCCCTTCTCTCCATGTTCGGAAACGCGTCCATCACCGGGCCCGCCTCCCGCTCCCCTCCCCTCCGGCTGGTAACAGAACGTTCGCGCCAGCAGAGGCCTCCGGAGAGGTCTCCGCAGGGGTCCTCTTGAAATCTCCAGGACTTCCGGAAGGCTCCCGAAAAAAACCCGAAGACCAATGGCCCTTCGAAAGACGGCGGTCGACGTCGGTGGTCGGTTATCGTCATCGTCGTCGTCGTGATTGTTCCCGTCACTGTTGTTGTCGTCGTCGGAAGAGGAGGAAGAGAAAGTCGTAGATCGTAGATCGCAGGTTGTAAATCGTCGTCGTCGTGGTCGTCGTCGTCGTCGTCGACAGTCAGCGTCGCCGTCGTCGTAGTCGTCGTCGTCGTCGACGTCGTCGTCGTCAGTGTCGTCGTCGTCGTCGCGGTCGTCGTCGTCAGTGTCGCCGTCGTCGTCAATGTCGTCATCGTCGTCGTTGTGCCGAGGCCACCCATGGTGATATCTCGCTCGCGCCAACGGAAGTTTTCGGAGAGGGCTCCTCCGGACACCTTCACAAACCTCCAGGGACCTAAGGAGGCCTCCAAACGACGTCGGCCGATGCCGACATCGGCGTCGGCTTCGTCGCCGTCGCCGTCGTCGGCGCCGTCGTCAACGTCGTCGTCGTCGTCGTCCATGCCGTCGTCGCCGTCATCGTCGTCCGTGTCGTCGTCGTCGTCGCCGCCGCCGTCGTCCCGAGGCCAGCCCCTGGTGACATTTCGTCGCGCCGACGAGAAGTTCCCAGAGAAAACTCATCCTGGCACTTTCGCGAACGCTGCTGGAAACACCTCCTGGGACCTAAGGAAGTCTCTCAGCGACGTCGGCCGACATCGTCGTCGATTTCGTCGTCGTCGTCGCCACCGTTTTCGTCGTCGTCATCGTCGTCGTCAACGTGGGCGGCGTCGTCATCAGCGTCGGCGACATCGTCCTCGAGCGCCCAGGGTTGGCCTTTCACTCCGCGTCTTGACCGCAAGCGCCTCCCCACCCGTCTTCCATGGAGACGGCCGGACGCATCTGGCAACACGCGTCATTTGCCCGCGGGCGCGGGGAATGTCGGAAGAGGCGAGGGGGAGGACGAGGAGAACGAGGAGGAGGTATGATGAGGAACGGGAGGAAGAAGAACATGGCAAAGCAGCATCAATGGTCCGATTGAACACCTGGGGAGCTACGACCGAAGCCCCGAAGAGAAACATTTTCAGACCAGTCGCTCGTAAAGGGCACGAGAATATGTGGGACCTTGCGGGGGGATGCCTCGGGCCTAAGGCGAGGTTTTCGCATGGGTGCGCCGCGAAGGTTCGCCTACGCACTCCGCCGCTGCAGAAGCTGGAGGCGAACGTCGGAAAGGCCCGCCCCAGCACAACCCCAACGAAACCCTACGCCACGGGGCGAACCAGACGTCGGAGTGCGCGCCGACCAGACCAACCGTCCTTCCTCCAGACTGCTTTCGGCAAGGCGCAGAGCCCGAGGGGTCTCGGATGGGGGACTCGGAAAGCGATCGGCGCCCAGCAAAGCCTCATTCGGAGGGGGGGGGCTTTGGGAAAACGCCAAACTCGATGGTTCCCTGGGTATGCTTGAGCATCGGAGTGGAAGCCCGAACCTGGCGGGCCAGAAGAATTCCACCCTAGAGGAGCCCCTGGAGAGAACACTCAGCATCTCGTTCACTGCCATACACAGCGGCCAGGCGGGTGCGGCCAGCCTCTCGCTCACGTGTCTTCGTCCATGACTGCCTCGCCCTCCGCGAGGCGATCCCTGAGGCCGAACTGAGCACGCCTCGCTGCCTCCCTCTCTATCCCGCCGCAGGGACGAGCCCGCGGAAAGAATCACAATTTGTCCCCGCCCTCCGAGACGATGGACTGTCTGACAGTCTTCGCGAGCGTGACCGTCTATTCCTGCACCAGACTGCTCTGCCGAGGCGCCCCCATCATGATTTGGAACATGCAGCGGCGGGGCATGGTCTGGCAGTTCCTGTCGCGTGAGCAGCCCTTGATGTGATGCCGTCGGCGCTGCTGCTGTAGTGCTGCCAGGGCGTGGGGAACCGTCGTGGCTTTGTCCCAACCTCCTCTTGGGTCTGCCGCGACTCTGGGCACACCCATCGTGCGAATGCAATGTATACCTGTGGCCGAAGGTGTGTCTTGCCGGCGACTTCGCAGATTCCCACTCCCCCCCTAATCTGCCGGGCAAGCGCGACGTCTGCACCCGCCATGTAGGACAAGAAGCAAGCGCCAGTCACCTCGGCCAGCTCGCGCGCGATTCCGGTGACGAACCTGCTCCTTCTGCTGGTTGCTCCCGCCGTCGCTGCCCAGCTGCTCTTGGAGACTGGCTCGCTCGGCCTCCTTGCCCCCCTGCATGCCGACCTTGCGATTGCGATCTTTGTTCACTTCTGTAAGTTCCTGCATCGCTGCGCTCGGAAATCACTTGTAGCACCTCGAAGTGCGATCATCGATGCGCGCGGGAAGCTGACTCACGCGCTGCTTCAGTCTTGCACGGCCGGCCCTGACAAGGGGCCCTCAGGGGGCCCTGCGTCGAGCGCGGCACTGAGATGTGACTTGCACGCGCCGCGCGCGAAAGAGTCGAGAACAGGGGGTTGCGCGCCGAGATGCGGTTCAGGAATTGCCCCCCGCACACGAAACAACCCTTCCCGACCGCCGCCTCTGCCAATGCATTCTTAAAACCATGGGCCGCCCGAGCGCGCAGCACCCGCTGACGCTCGGTGAGAGGGGCGATTTAGGACAGCCCCCCCCTGCGAGTTATGATGACCCCCCTCAGGTGCCACAAGGAGCCCTGTCGCCTGTGCGAGAAGGGCCGTTGTGATGCAGATAGAGAGACCCTCGCGGAAAGCCGCGCAACCCTTGCCGCCGGCAGGCCGAACTCATTGAACGACCCTCTCAGCTTCCCATCCTCCAGGGTCGGTGGAGCACCATCCCAAGACTTCATGGTCTCCTCGGTGCCATCCGAAGCCTTCGCGGTTGCATGCCAGTCCTGGGCGCACTGCTTGGCCCAGAGGCTGGCCAGCGGCGCAAGACGGCCCTCGGGGTTCAGGAGTGCAGACGCCCTTCTCGATTTCGATCTGCACGTCGCTGGGCGCGGGGGGGCGCTCACAAAGGTGCCGTTCTCGATGGGCCGCCCTCATTTAATACCGCCGAAGTCGTCGTGTTCGGCGCTCAACCTCGGGCGGGGGTACCTTCCAATAGCGCAGCACTGCATCGGTCGATGGTGTATTAGGGCGAGGCCACGTGACAGCCCCTCGCATGGCTCTGCCCACGAACAACACCGCCCTGGCCGCAAGCTTATTGGCCTGGTCGGAAAAAGTGGAGCAAGGCCTTGCACACCGAACGTGCTGGGCCAACAGCCTGTGCCCAGAAAACCGCGCGACGTTCCGTGCAGTAGATCCAAGGAAGTACAAGAATTCGCCCACGAAGCAGATCCCGGTCAACATCGCGGCCAGTCCTACATGCCAGCTCGGCCCTGCACGACCCGCCATCTATGATCTGCCCCCCCAGATGACGAGCTGCCTCGGCAAGAACCGCGACAAAGGGCATTGTTTTTTCAAGCGTATCGCGCCTCATAGAGCGCATGCCAGCGCCGAGATAAAGGACAGGAGGTCCAGATTATTGGCATGGTTGGGCGCGCAGCCGCGGGGTTGGAGCTCGGCAGACACCAGCCGGTCGCGAGCCCATGACCATCTGGAGATTTCTTCGGAAGGCGCCGGGTCCGTCGCCAATAATTCTCGAAAAGCGTCGTCGACGTAGGAGTGGAAGGCCGCTTCCAGGATCGATCCTCGTCGTCGCAACGCAGCTGCATCTGGCACCGGGTAGCTCAAGGCGGGCCGTGCTCTCCATGCCGCTGCTGCGCCCTCGCGGAGACCTCGCTGACGCCCCCCGCGAATGCTCGCCCAGCCCAGGGGTCGCCGATAACAGCTCCATCTCTAAACCGAACGCAGAGGTCCCCGAACACGAGGGCAGCGAAGCGGAAGCGCCGACGGTCGATGCTGGCATTGGCTTCCACATGGCTGAGCCAGTCTGTCGACGCGAAGACGTTAGTGCGATCCTTTAGCTCAGTGGCGCGGTTGATTCCAAGTCTGCGTAGTTTCCGCGCGCCGAATACATCTCCCCCCATGTGGTATGCAGTCATGGGCGACCATGGGTTCCTCCATGGATGTCCAGCGCCGTTGCCATGGGCGCGTTCCCGAAACAAAAAAAAAGAGGAATCGCACAACTCTTATCAATATCACTGCAACCCCCCGGTTGAGGTGCCAAACGAAGGGGGTCTGCACCGTGCGGCGCGCGCGATGCACGGGGGTGAAGCGGGATCGGCGCGTCTTCTAAAGGTTGATCTGCGGTGCCTCGTGGCCGACGCAATAAAACCTGCGAGATGCTCGACGACGCCGGCGAAAGATCACGCACCATAGATCCAACGGTGCGTAACAAAAGGGGCAAGTTCTCCTCTTGAGCGTTTTTCTGAACCAGCCTCTGATCTCCCGAATTCGTGACTATCCCAGCCGACGCCCTCCTCCGCCCGTTCCCCCATGAAATCCCCGACCCTTCCCGGCCCCCCTTTTCCTGGCAGGCGAGTGCGGCGACGAGCGCTGGATTGCGGCGCCAAGAACCACTTGGCGCACCTCGCCA